TTATCGATTTTCTACAGATTTGCGATAAGTTATGAGCATATAAGTTATATGCATGCACATGAACATTGGCAGTAAGAACATCAGTGGATTTCGTTTACTCGTAACTAACTTTCATATTTATTATGAATTAGAAAATGTATATGGACGTTATTAGTTAACGTTGAGGCTGCATGCCTCCAGATGAGCCAAAATATTTCAAGAAAATCAAACTTTGGGAAAACGCACTCATATTGTAAGAAAAGTAAATAGATTCAAGATTCAAGAAATAATTTATATCTTATAGGCGATTAATGACTGATTTTGCGGTATTTATCACCATATTTCTACTGCGTTACTAACGCAGTAAGGGCTATTTTTTCCCATATTTCGACCCCTTTTTGGTAATTTGCGTGGAATGTTAGTGCTGTTTGCAATATGTAAATTACTTTCTTTGTTAACTTAGCAATATTTTACTTTAAAATACATTTTCGAAATGTTCATGAAAATTAGAAAAAATCTGGTGGTGTGCTGCTTTAATGGTACATTAGAAACCCGTCAATTCTTTTTTTTCCAATTTAAGTTTCTTTCTTGTTATTTATTAATTGTTTACATTTTTTGACATAAATTCTTGATCTGACTGATCTCATCCCATCGGTTTTCTTTTGTTGCTTTCATTTAAAACGAAATTGCAAAATGATATTGTTTTTGTGACATTTGTTATTTAGGTATGACCAGTACTATAGAATTGAGCCTCGTCACGACAAAACCTACATAGTGCTTTTGTGACCAGCATGGATCCAGATCAGCCTGCGCATCGGCGCAGTCTGATCAGGATCCATGCTGTTCGCTGTCAGTTCCTCCACTTGTAATAGAGTTGGTAAGCGAACAGCATGGATCCTGATCAGACTGCGCGGATGCGCAGGCTGGTCTGGATCCATGCTGGTCGCAAACGCACTATGTTGGTTTTGTCGTGACGCGGCTCAAATATTGATGATGTTTCTATGACATATGTTCCTTTGCTCGGCATCAACAACCCTTTTCAGGGCTCCCTGCTTTCCATCAGAGGCTACCTCCTTCCCATCAAATATTTGTTATTTACAGTAGAGTATACAATTTTTAAATAGCACTGTAAAATTATGCGCTTATATCCAGTTTTGGAAATCAAACAAAATCGTACTAGCCACGGTTCGGTCCCCCTCTGTCATGACCGTTTGTTTATTATGAAAATCTAAAGAATTTACAAACAGATAAAGAGAAATTAGATACTTCACGACTTTCCTCTTAAAGGACATCTTCATAATTACTTAGACATTTTTTATTAATATTTAATGTCTCGATGTTTCTTTTATTTGTTATTGATCAGTATTTATATATCGAAATAATCCATTATATCTTTGATAATTATTACAATAAGTCAGTAACAACAAGTTTGTGGTGTCGGAGGCTTAATGTTAAAGTTGCATGCATCCAGATTCATGCTAATTTTCATGAAAAGTTTGAAAATGTATTTAGAAGCTAAATATTGTAAAGTTATTAAAATAGTTATTTACATATTGTTTACGGCAATTAAACACACCTGAATTACCAAATAGAGGTTACAATATGCAAAAATAGTCCTTAAAGCGTTAGTCACGCAGTAGAAGTATGATGGTAAATACTGCCAAATCAGTCATTAATAGTAGTACATAACATGTAAACCATTACTTGAATATTGACTCTTTTTAACTTTTCTTAAAATCTTAGTACATTTTTCTCAAGTTTGATTTTCTTGAAATATTTTGGCTCATCTGGAGTCACACAGCTTTAAACAGAATACTGTGAAACAGTACTCGCATTTACAATTTTAATTCATGAAAGCAGATATTGTCAACACTTTTGTTCGAGAAGGTGAAATTTAGGGAGATTTTTTTTTTTTTTAAAAAAAGGTAAAGAAGAAATATACCTGGTGTTCATATGATGACTTAACTAAACATTGACAGTTTAGATAATGAACATTAACACAGTTTTTAAATCTTAAACCTTTACTTTAGAATCTTTTCCACCGGCCTTTAATTGATTCTTTATTACATTTAGCAAATAAAACATGTTTTGTTTGTTTGCTTTGAGATGTCAAATTTACATGATTGTATCATAATATTGCCTCAGCACTATTGATTTTGTCCTAATGCACTGCATCTCATAACAGTTTGCGCCTCGTGGACTAAGTTGGTTTGGTAGTAGTTATTTGCAATTATTCCATGGAAGCATCAAATAGACTTTCTTTTTTATACAATTAACCAAAAGAGTTGGGACAAAAGTAAATTACCATTAATGGGGGAGATGAGAATTGGGGACTCTCAAGCTGAATTACTGTTCGCATCAATAAAGCATTATAAACAAGAAAGGAAAGATATTGTACAAAGGGAATATCAAATGTACTAGTATTTCTTTTTTGTGAGCTGTTGCACTCGTTCCTAGTGCTGATTACTCTTGGGGCATATTTCTAAATGAGGCAATATGTAATGACGTCATAAATGTTTTGTTATACATATAAAAAATAATACGTAATGTGTGTTTCATTTTTTTGTCGTTTTTGTCGTATTTGATATACTGAATAATAAATTGAACTGGAAATGGTTAAGTAAATTATTTTATCCAATTTCATTTTACTTTATTTATTAAACACGATGCAGTATGTACTGGTTAATAACAGTGGCGGCACGGCGGAATGGTTTACAATAAATCTTAGCATTGCTCGCCGGATGTGTTCAAACCTCGCCACAAACAAGTCGTTGTTTTTTTGAGCAAGAAACTTTACACTGATTGGTCAGTACTGGTTGGTTCCAGGAACGGATTCGAGATTGTGTCTTTATGCTTATATATAGCTTCCCAAACAGTCGAACTAAAAAAAAACTATGAAGAGATAAATACTGATTATGCAACGTTGTTAAACTTGGAAGAGACAATTTGTGTAGTTTTTGCTATCTTAACACCAGTGATTGACTCTACTGTAATTCATTAAGAAATGTAATTGTAACCAATCAGCAAATTTAAATGTACTAATACAGCTAGCGTCTGAATGAAGCTATATTGACTTGTTCAACATGTTTAACTTTCCCTAGTAATGTTTATCAATTATTCATGGCAATTTAGCCTTTGTCTTTAAATAGAAAACTTTCAAGAGAGCAATAACGAAGTAATGGTCTCTTGAAATAAATCACGATCAACAGTTTATGGGAGCTGTGTTCTATACATATTGAACAGTGTCAGCTCTCTGAAGATTGTCTCAATTATATACAGTAAATGTTACACAGTTTTACGATATATGTTACACAGTGATACGATAAATGTTACACAGTGATACGATAAATTTTACACTGCGATAACGATAGATGTTACACAGTGATACGGTAATTTTAATTTTGCACAGTGATACGATGAATGTTACACAGTGATACGATAAAACGATAATTTTTACACATTGATACGATAAATTTTACACAGCGATAACAATAAATGTTACGCAGTTAAACTATGAATGTTACATAATTATGCGATGAATGTCACACAATTAAATGATAATGGTGTTATTTTACTTAGATTAAGAATTGTTTTCTTAGCATATCTTATAATTCAACTTAAATTCACATTGAGATACCTACATGGCTTATACTGCTATGCCACTTTAAGCAAAATAAACCAACTTGGCTTATCTTGTTATATTTCTTTTATTTAGAGAAACGAACTTTGTTTATCTTCTTTTTTTCTGTTATTTAGAGATACCAACTTGGCTTAACTTGTTTCATTTATTTAGAGATACCAACTTGGCTTATCTTGCTATTTTTCTTTTATTTAGAGATACCAACTTGGCTTATCTTGCTATTTTTTCTTTTATTTAGAGATACCAACTTGGCTTATCTTGCTATTTTTCTTTTATTTAGAGATACCTATTTAGAGATATCAACTTGGCTTATCTTGTTATTTTTCTGTTATTAAGAAATACCAACTTGGCTTATCTTGCTATTTTTTCTTTCATTTAGAGATACCAACATGTTTTATCTTGTTATTTTTCTTTTATTTAGGGATACCAACTTGGCTAATCTTGCTAGTTTTTGTTCATTACAGATACCAACTTGGCTTATCTTGCTATTTTTTCTTTCATTTAGAGATACCAACTTGGCTTATCTTGCTGTTTTTCTTTTATTTAGGGATACCAACTTGGCTTATCTTGCTAGTTTTTGTTCATTACAGATACCAACTTGGCTTATCTTGCTATTTTTCTTTTATTTCTTATCTTCTTATTTCACCTTATTAAGATATATCTTTTTGACTTATCTTGTTATTTTATTTTAATAAAGGGACGCCTACTTGGTTTATAGAGTTATTTCACTTCATTTAGGAGATACCAACTTGTTCTTTTACTACCAGTTAGAGATATCTGCTTACATTATTATGTTATTAACAATTAGAGAAATCTACGTGTGGTTCATTTTGTCTCTTTCTATATTCTTTGTGATTGTATGTCGTTATTTTAATACCTCTATTTATCCGTCGTTGTTTCAATGTGTATACATTGTATAATTTAGATCACTATTTCTCTGATTAAGTATTTGACCGTTGCCTTAATATATGAGTATAATTATGAGTTTGTCCTTTCAACATAGTATGTCATCATTTCAATGCCTCTTTCACTAAATGTCTTATATTTTTAGGACATTATTTTGATATATCTGTGATTTATTCAATGCTATTAATCTACAGATCGTTTTTTTTTTTCGACAATTAGTTGATATTATTTAAAGCTCACTTAAGCATAAGGTGGACATGGTGAGCTTTTAGGATATTTTTCTGTCCGTTTTAAATGGCAACCTTGACTGAGTTTTTATCAAATCATGCCCCTGGGGTCAAAATTAGCCCGTTTTGGTGCCACCCTGGTTCTTTTTTATTTTACATTAAGCTCATCAATAAATCGATATATAACATCGATAAATCGATATATAAAATCGTTTATTTAATCGCCTTTTATCTTTGATATTTTTCAGATCATGATATCGATGATTTGGAGATGCAGGTGGTCCGGTATAAACCAGAAGGTCTAGACATTCTTTGTAAAAATACAAAATTTACCAGAAAAGAGTTACAAATTATGTACAGGGGATTCAAGCAGGTATGTCATTTGTTTTTAAAATTCTAAAGTGCTGTTTTACATGAGTAGGGTTTAGGTCAAAGGATTTGGGAGTTCAACTACTATATAGGTTAAGAGCAAGACACCTTAACTACTATATGACACCTAAACTTCTTTACAGGCTTAAGAGCAAGACACCTTAAATTCTATATAGGCTAAAGAGCAAGACACCTAAACTTCTTTACAGGCTAAAGAGCAAGACACCTTAACTACTATATAGGCTAAAGAACAAGACACCTAAACTTCTTTACAGGCTAAAGATCAAGACACCTTAACTACTATATAGGCTAAAGAGCAAGTATATAGGCTAAAGAGCAAGACACCTTAACTACTATATAGGCTTAAGAGCAAGACACCTAAACTTCTTTACAGGCTAAAAAGCAAGGCACCTTGTCTACTATATAGGCTAAAGAGCAAGGCACCTTATCTACTATATAGGCTAAAGAGCAAGACACCTTAACTACTATGTAGGCTAAAGAGCAAGACTCATAAACTTCTTTACAGGCTAAAGAGCAAGACACCTTAACTACTATATAGGCTAAAGAGCAAGACACATTAACTTCTTTACAGGCTAAAGAGAAAGACACCTTAAGTAATAGAAAGAGCACCGAAACACGAGGCTATCTGATTTGTACGAGGGGGCGTAGCCCCCGAGTATAAATCAGATTGCCGAGTGTTTTGGTGTTCTTTCTCTTTTGTATCATAGTCAAACATGACAGCACGTTCCCTGTTGTCATAATATGAAACCCCAGAAAAAAATAACCAATGAACGAGCATTTGAAAATGATAGTTCTGCCCCTTTCCCTTTCTCTGCCGTCACAATATGTAAGCCCCGGCAAAAATGAACCAATCCACAGGCATTATCTGGAGTGCGGGTAACTGATACCTGCACTCCAGTTACCGCACTGTGCATGTATATGTATACGATTTAACTCTGACACTTTTTCAACAGAAAGGTCCCCAAACTATGATACAACTAATCTAGGAGACCCTTCCCGTTCATATATTCAGTACACTTTTGCGTATACTTTTTATCTTTAGTTACATCAATGGTAATCCATTGCATGTTCTCTGGGAGACGACAACGCTGCGTGAGCGGGAAAATATCTTATTCGGCATTAACGTTATGATGATATATGATATAGGTTAAAACAGATTCTGATAGGCTACTGATATATTCTGATGCCACTTGAACAGAACTAAAACTGACAAGAATTTGTTTGATTGAGAACATTTGAGCCGTGTCACGACAAAACCAACATAATGGGTTTGCGACCAGCATGGATCCAGACCAGCCTGCGCATCCGCGCAGTTTGATCAGGATCCATGCTGTTCGCTTACCAACTCTATTACAAGTGGAGAAACTGATAGCGAACAGCATGGATCCTGATCAGACTGCGCGGATGCGCAGCTGGTCTGGATCCATGCTGGTCGCAAACGCATTACGTTGGTTTTGTCGTGACACGGCTCATTTTATTAAATATCTGTGTTGTCTAATCTCTATCAACATTTCTTAAAATTATTACAAGAAGAAATAACTGAAAATATTTTTTAAAATAATTCGAAATTGCTCTCAAGGATGTACGTATTTGTGCTTAAATATATACTACTTGGTCATTATTTCTTAAGCAGATGATAGGGTATAAATAGTGAATGAAAACCGGTCAAGCTAAAATCGTGATGTTGTTATCTGAACCATTAGTTTATTACAAAAGATTCTAATTCGATTGTGTAGGAAGCTTTAGGCTTATAGTCACACTAAGTCTTTCGAATCCTTTCCTGGAACTACATAGTAAAATACACGCAGTGAATATACCACCCTGGAACCAGCGCGATCTATCGGCGACGTGACCACTACCAGTTTGCTTGTTGGTATATCCAATCAAAACCTTTTTTGTATGTTATATGTCACTGTAACATTGTTAATACATGAATTATGTTTCATGATAAAACATTGCTTTTCAGGAATGTCCTACAGGTATAGTAAACGAGGAGACATTCAAAGAAATCTACGCTCAATTTTTCCCACAAGGGGGTATGTATTATTTTGGCACTTTAACATAACACATCAGTAAATATCTCGTCTGCTTAATGTCTATATATACAGTACAACCTCTGCAGAACAACCCTCTTCCGGAAGAAAGATTTAGATTTGACACTAAATTTGACCTCTCTACAGCAAACCGTCTAAGCAACAACTAAATTCTTTGCTCCCCAAAAGGTGTTGCTATGCGGCGGTTGCACTGTATTTGGAAGAACATCAAGGGATTGTTCGCAGCATTGTAAAATCGGTTTCACAAAGAAACCAATGTCATTTACATTATTTAATCGTAGCCTGTAATATGCAATTTTGGATGGATGGATGGAGATTTTTTTAAACATTTTTTTTAATGAAATAAGAAAATATTTGAAAATTAATACAATGCAATTACAAACCACGTTATTTACCCAAAAAATGTCAAAATAAGCAAAAATAGCCCTTATTGCGTTAGTCACGCAGTAGCAATATTGTGACAAATATTGCAAAATCAGTCATTAATTATATATAACATGTAAATGGTTACTTAGATATTAAATCTTATTACTTTTCTTTAAATCTTAGTACAAAAAAATGTACATTTTTCTAAAGTTTGATTTTCTTGAAATAGTTTTGCTCATCTGGAGGCATGCTGATTTCAAAAGTATTTTAAGATAATTATTTTGTTGAATTACAGATTCCAGCATGTATGCTCATTATGTGTTTATGACATTTGATCACGACCGTAACGGCTCGATCAGTTTTGAGGTAATCATTTAATTTCTTTAATATTTTAATTAAATGCTCACGTGATAAAATTAACATTGTAATCATTTCCCTAGTTTAAGTGTAGATCATGTATCCAATTGTAGAGTACATTTATCATCTATCTCTAGTGTACGTCATTGGTCGCACTTAAGTGTACATTATTTGTCTGTTTGTATTTGTGCTGTGTACATCATTTGTCTATCTCTAGTGTACATCATTTGTCTATTTGTAGTGTACAACATTTGTCTATCTGCAGTGTACATCATTTGTCTATCTGTAGTGTACAACATTTGTCTATCTGCAGTGTACATCATTTGTCTATCTGTAGTGTACAACATTTGTCTATCTGTAGTGTACAACATTTGTCTATCTGCAGTGTACATCATTTGTCTATCTGTAGTGTACAACATTTGTCTATCTGTAGTATGCAACATTTGTCTATCTGCAGTGTACATCATTTGTCTATCTGTAGTGTACAACATTTGTCTATCTGCAGTGTACATCATTTGTCTATCTCTAGTGTACATCATTTGTCTATTTGTAGTGTACAACATTTGTCTATCTGCAGTGTACATCATTTGTCTATCTGTAGTGTACAACATTTGTCTATCTGCAGTGTACATCATTTGTCTATATGTAGTGTACAACATTTGTCTATCTGCAGTGTACATCATCTGTCTATCTGTAGTGTACAACATTTGTCTATCTTTCAGTGTACATCATTTGTCTATTTGTAGTGTACAACATTTGTCTATCTTCAGTGTACATCATTTGTCTATCTGTAGTGTACAACATTTGTCTATTTGTAGTGTACAACATTTGTCTATTTGTAGTGTACAACATTTGTCTATCTGCAGTGTACAACATTTGTCTATTTGTAGTGTACAACATTTGTCTATCTGCAGTGTACATCATTTGTCTATTTGTAGTGTACAACATTTGTTTATCAGTGTACATCATCTGCAATTAACATAATTTGTTACTCTAGTGAACAATAAGTGTCTGTCTGTAGAGTTTTGTAAATCATGCATTTTCATTTTGTCTATCTGTCTGTACTTCATTTTCTTGTACGTAATCTGTATCGTTTTTTTTTTTTTTTTTTTTTTTTTTTTTTTTCGTTTTTTTTTTACTAGCCATTTGTTCACCATAAATAGCCTATATAACCTATATAATATTTCATTTAAAAACAAAAAGAAACATGTACACATCTTCTTTCCAGTAGAAAAGTTAGAAATTAATACGACTATGACTACTAAACCAAATTTCAAAGGAATGTTGTTTTCTTGCCTTCTTTCAGATTGGCTGAATAGTTTATGACTTTTTCTTTGGCAGCTAAAGAAAGGATCATTACAAAATTTTCCTCTCAAATCTGGCCAGATTTCAAAAATAATTTCACAAGATCGTTATATGATAGAGAAAGTTTAGCAATTTCTTCGAAATTAGTAAACCTAGTTAACCGATTGCAGGAGCACGTTTTGCACGGATCATATTTTATCACACAGGTATGATAAGTGTGATTCAGTTTTTGCACAGCTGCAGGTTGGTCTTACTTCCGGTGTGGTCTTAATAAGTAGGAGTCCTACTGTATGTGCACAGGTAGATTGAAACATGCCAGGAGTTTTCGTTTAAATAGAATGCTGTTTTCTACAATGTACAAATATATAACGATAAAGAGGTATCTTTAGCAATTTAGCAACTGAAAGTTCAAAAACGTTTGAAAAACACCAAATGCTGTTGAATAGTCAAATTATTTTAAAGTAAAGTCTCGCTTGCTTCACATCATATTGAAGTTGACGTGCTTCTGCAAAATACTTGGAGAAAAAAATCCAAGACAGTGTCATTGTTGTTGAAAGAATGTGACAAATTTGTTCGAATACAATGTGAAATAGAGGTGGCAAATGTGATTCTATGACACCTGAAAATCTCAACCTTAACACAAGTTTCACAGGAAATCTGAAGAATGTGTGACATAAACGATTGTTAATGTCATATGTGTGACACAATGTGTCGTATTTATCACACATATGACAAATGTTATCCGTGCCAAATGTGCTCCTCCAAACGGTACTTTCTCTGAAGCATTCAAAAGAAGAAAGAACTTTATGTGTTTGTTTTTCTTCAAAATGACTGGTCAGATTTTCCAACGTTCTCCTTTTAAAAAAGACATATGTATCGTATTACAGCGAATTTCTTATCTTTCTTAATCGCTAAATCGATGATATGACAAATGATATGCTTCAAACGCAGGTTAAAGATGAACTCATAAAGTTGTCCAGGTAGGTTTCAAGTATGGGATATCTGTACCCCCATCACCCCAATCTACGATTGTATTAATATTTTAATATCTTTACAATATATGTACATGTAATATATGTACCTACACCTACAATATACCGGTGTTTATTATGAATATCAATTCTAAAGATGTTATTATGTGTATACATGTAACTGTTATATTTTTCAGGAGTTTGTTATGGGCTTATCAGTACTTGCTAGAGGTAGTTTACCAGAACGATTACAGTGGGCTTTTAATTTATATGACATTAACGGCGACGGTATTATAACAAAAGATGAAATGACTGACATTGTCGGGGCCATTTATGAAATGATGGGTCGATTTACTCAACCAGTTATAGAGGAATACAGTGCACGTGAACACGTAGATAAAGTATTTTCGGTATGGTTATATACGTAGTCTATCAAAGTGCTCATATCTTTTATTTAAATGGTTATATAGTATATAAAAATGCTCATATATTTTATTTAAATGCTCATATATGATATCTAAGTCGCCTTAATTATATCTAAGTTTCATATATCATGTGATCGCATATCTTATGAATGTCACATGTTCGTTTAAGTGTTCTCAAATATTCTACAAATGGTGGAATGTTAAAATACGTGTTCATGTAAAATAAAGATTGAATTGAATTGTATTATATTTAAGTGGTATTATATTTATATAAGTCCTCATATATCATATAAAGTATACATGATCATATCATATCCATTAATGATCGTATACTATAAATAAATGCTCATATGTCTCGGTTATCGTATACATGTACATGTAAAATGTTAGTGTTCCTTTATTATATCTAAATGATCTTATGTTAGTGTTATATTTGTCATATCTAAGTTATCGAATACGGTACAAGTCTTTGTTTTTTGTTTCTAAAGGATCGTATATTTGTGTTCATGTGTCACATCGAATTTATCGTATACGGTACAAGTCTGTTGTTATTGTATCTAAGTACACGGTTATAAGTGTTCATGTGTCATATCTATATCATCGTATACGGAACAAGTCTTTATTCATTGTATCTAAATGCATTTATGATATAACTGTCTCGGTTATGGTATGTATACATTTAAAATGCTAGTGGTCCTTCATTATATCTAAATGATCGTATATTAGTGTTATATGTGTCATATCGAAGTTACCGTATACGGTACAAGTCTGTAGTTAATGTATCTAAATGTACATTTATAAGTGTTCATGTGTCATATCTATATCTTTGTATACGGTACAAGTCTTTATTCATGTTATCTAAATGATCGTATACTAGTGTTCATGTGTTATATCTAAGTTATCATATACGGTACAAGTATTAGTATTATTGTTCATGTGTTATATTTTAATGATCGTATACTAGTGTCCATGTGTTATATCTCAATTATCGTACGCGGTACACGTCTTTATTCGTTATATCTAAATGATGGTATAACAGTGTTAATGTGTTATATCTAAATTATCGTACACGGTACAAGTCATTATTTATTGTATGTAAATGATCGTATATTAGTGTTCATGTGTTATATTTTAATGATCGTATACTAGTGTTCATGTGGTATATCTTAATTATCGTATACGGTACAAGTCTTTATTCATTGAACCTAAATGATCGTATATTAGTGTCTATGTGATATATCTAAGTTATCGTATACGGTACAATTGTATATTTATGATATCTAAGTGATCGTATATAATATAAGCGTTTATAAAATCTATTTATAGTGTGTGAAGAGATCGAAATTTAAGGGGAAAAAAGTTCTTAGTATTAATGTTTTGAAAACAGTTCTGTATGATATTTCTTTTATGTCTCAAGTACTTCCTTAATAGTACTACATACTTGTTTCTTGCAGAAAATGGACCTAAATAAAGACGGTGTGATATCATTCGAAGAATTTATGGATTCTTGTCGGATGGTAATTAACATTTTTCTTTCTTCATTTACTATTTATATAATTTCTAATATCATCTTACAATTACTTTACGTTCAGATGATTCTCTTTTAAAAAAAAACATATTTGCGTATTACACCTATTGTGTTTTTTTTGCTCAGTTGGAGTTGTAAATGTTGGTATTTTTTATTAGAAATGTTTGCTAAATATGCACACTATTGATTGGATAGCAGCAGCCGATACGAAGTTGAAGTTTTGAACTAGATTGAAGAAAAATGCCGCACGAAACTGTCATTTGTTATTGTAAAAGTTCAAGTTCACATGTACAGTCAAACCTGAAAACAAAGGTCACCTGAAGGAAGGACCAAACATGGTCTTTATAGATAAGTGGTCTTAATTTGGGGTTACTATATTCTATTAAATCTCTGAACGGTTTTGAATAGAGGTCTTTATTCACAGGGTGATCTTATTCAGAGGTTGTCTTTAAAACAGGTTTGACTGTATATAAATTACGTTCATATGTAAACATCATCGAATGTACGCCAAATTTATTGAATTGGCAAGTTCGTGATATCCAGTACCAATGTTAACCAATGTTTTGATTTATGTCCTCTTATTATATGACATACGGTAATAAAGAAAACTGTATTTGTTTGTTTTTCAGGATGAAAATATTGTTCGCGGAATGACATTATTTGATACTGTTCTTTAGCATAATCACCGGCAACATGCTTCACCCACATTCGATCTTCACGTTGTTCTTTCTCTACACTGTCTACCAGACACCTTTGGGAGCTATTAACTCCTTGTTTCTTGAACAATAAACGTTCCAAATAAGGATAGTATACACGTTGTGACAGCTTTATGATGTGAGGTTATTATCTCTACACAAAGAACTACTTTTCTTTCTGAGGAAATATCGGATGTAAATTGTCGAAATTTTATTAAAAATAATCACCCTCTAAGGATTCTTACGCGGAGCAAGTTTAATACCGATAATTGCAGGTTATTTAGCATGGAACTGTACAATACGAGTGCTTATTTCTTGAAAAGAGTATATCTACACATGTAAGACGCAATGGCCTTTTCCATGTGACTAAATGTAATGTTACATGGAAAAGGTCGTACGCACTCAACTGTCCGATATAGAAAGTAATATTGGACACTACAGTGTCCAAAATAGGAAATTGTACATTGGACAAGCATGTGGTGCATTTTAAAGCAACCATTTGATAAAACTAGTTGGTACAAAATAATAACTGATGTATTTCGAGATTGGTATTATCACGTGTAGTAGTTATTCCGGGGGAACCTATTTTATGGTGGGTTTTTTTTTCTTCAACGGACGGGTTTTTATTAAATTCTATAATTGACATCCGTTTTTTTGTTGTCAAAATATTGAAGCGTTGATAAACATGTATTGTGCAATATTTTGAAACATTCATTACTTCTGTTATATATAAAAAAAAGTTATGCATGCACCAAAACGACAATATAGGTAAATAAAAACTCAGAACTAGACAAGAGTTCATCTGTGTAAGGGAATAAGTATTAATGCCACCTTGATTTTTGTCACCGCATTAATATTACAATTGAACAGCTAAATCTATTAGTTTTGTCTTTTACTGAGATAGAAGAAATATCTTCGCATTTCTTATTCAGTTTACAATCTTTTCTTAACCACTCTGATATCATTTCAGTGTAAATATTTCATTTGAATTAATAATCTTAAAATGACTGTCATAAGTTTCCATGTTTGTTTTTTATACTGTATTCCACATTTCACGACATAAAATGTAAATGTTATATATAAATTCTTGCATACCAATGTCAATACGTGTTTTTGGTTATACACTGTCACTTAGTGCTGGAATACAAACATTGACATATAAACTTAGTGCCAGTATTTAATACAAGCATATAAACATAGTATTAATGATAGACACTAGAGTTGGTTTATAACACTAGTATCTAAACATAGTGCGGTATATATCTTAACACTAGTGTTTAAACATAATGTTGGTATGTAACCCAAGTATTTAAACACATGTTGGAACAAAACAGTAGTGTTGGTATATAACATTAGTACTTAAATACAGTGTTGATGTATAACACTAACGTTTAAATATAGTGATGGTATATGATACACGTATTTAAACATAGTGCTGGTATTAAACACTAGAATTTAAACATAGTGCTGGAATTCAACACTATAATTTAAACATAGTGCTGGTTTATATAACACTTGTATTTAAATGGTTTGTTACATAACACTATAAATTTAACAATCTCACTGGTCTATAGCACTAGCATAGTGCTTGTCAATAACACTAACATCTAAAACATAGTGTTGGTATTTAACACTAGCATTTAAACATAGTGCTAGTATTTAACACTAGACACTACACTAGAACTGATTAGTAATTGCCAGCAGTAAAGAACCAGACCAGCCTGTACATTCGTATATAGCGCTGGTAAAGGGGGTTTATTTGATTTTCTTTCTTTACCACTACATTTCATATATAACAAGGGACACAACTCAAAGTATTATGAGTAAATCTTTTCTTAAGGTACTTTAACATAACAGATATACGTACGTAGCATTTTAAAATTAACTTCATTTGATATCTTTGTAAAATTCGTATTTAATAATGCTATTTTAATTTAATGAGTTAAATAGACAAATTGAAATAATACAATCGTTACAATATACTACCTGGCGCTAGAACTAAGAATGCTTATAAGTACTACCCACGACTGGACGTGTACGACAGCGTGGGGAAGGAAGAACCTACCTTTTATTCCTTTTGTAAATTATATATAGTGGTAAAGGGGAAAATTGAGAGTAACTCCACATTTTAAAATTGCCAGATTAATAGTTTTGGAGAAAATACCGGTACTGGGAAAGTTTTATTATAAACAGGCGTAGATTTTATACATAACAATCTGTAACGTCGATCTGTGTTAATATTTAAAAAACAGAAAAATATGCATGTTCTTTGTTAATAAATTAGCGTATATTTAATAGAGAGATCTGTAACGTCGCTCTGTGTCAAGATTTCAGAAATTTGTTTTAATGTTTTATGTTTTGTACAGTAATGATTCGCCATCCACAAATTACGATTTTACTGTTGGAGTACTTCCTCTTTAATACATGTATATATACACCATGATTTATTGTCTCATCGATTTACTTGACCAATATAATTTTACCAAAGTTGTTGAATGCTGATTTGTTTGAGTAGTTGTGTATATTTTTATGTTAACATGATTCATGTTTTTATGTTATAACTAACATGATATATAACATAATCTACACGACAGCCCAAATCAAACATGATGTATTTGTTAAATTAACAAATTTTCATTATAAATAATATTCCGGGTAATCATCCAGTATGAGAAGACATCTTGACCTTATTTAAGTTATATATTATATTGTTCAGTTTTTTTGGACATTTTTTCTTAGGTTGTTGTTTCTCTTTGTTTTTTTTATTAATATTTTGACGTTTACTTTTTACAGAGCAGATTTTCTTCTTATGCACATGTTTCAAATGTACTGTAAAAATTTGCCAATAAAATACTGAGTACGAAGTATTTTTAATATAGTTTGACTTAAATATTCACACACAAAAACCAAAAACAGATTTTTATTTCATAACATACAAAACAAGTCTGAAAACTATATTTCTTGCTCATTAAACAAGAACGAATATGTCTCTTTTTTACAAATTTCATTGAATGTTATGTACAGTGTAACCGGTGTACAGCGACCGTCTGAATAACAACACCATCTTTAGAATAACAGTCTCAAATCTTCCAAAAAGTAAGATGTAACAATAAATTTAACCTACATATAGTATCACTTTCAATAAGAACCAAAATCTAAGTCTCCCAAAGGATCTTGCTCTTCAGAGGTTGTCATGTTTTATAAATACTCAAGTAAACAAAATCTTAATTGGTTTACGTAAATAAAAAACAACAAATTACAATGTTCTTAACTGTGGAAAAACAAATCACATGATATATTATCAACTGAATGATAAAGAGAGCAAATAAAATAACAGTATTATACATTTTTTTCCAAATACATGTATAACTTTTGTTCAAAACCTTGTTAAATATATTGTTTAGCCTATTAACCCTTTGTAACACATTATTTAAGTAAACCATATTAATGTTTGTCAATTTTTATATGAATAATGAATGACGCGAGAAACGCCATTGAAAATTATTTTCAATGCCTTTTTTCTCTTTTTTTGTTGATTTCTTACTTTAAGAAAATAATGTTAATGAATTGAAAGTTTTATTGAATGTATGTCACAATGTATAAATGATAACAAAACTGATAATAAATTGTTACATTTTCCTACCTATAGAGTTTATGTCTTTTATAGTGTCCGATATATGAGCCGTGTCACGACAAAACCAACATAATGGGTTTGCGACCAGCATGGATCCAGACCAGCCTGCGCATCCGCGGATGCGCATGCTGGTCTGGATCCATGCTGGTCGCAAACCCATTATGTTGGTTTTGTCGTGTTGGTTTCATAGCTCATATATGTTCAATATAATATGATCCCTCCTGAACTGAAAAGATTTTTATTTATTTTTATCACCACCACCCTGTACTGTAGTCTATGCTTAATGAGGGTCCATCGGGTCTTTCAGGCACTGAGAGTACGGACCCCGGTTTAACGTATCTCTAAGCTAAAATCGCTGGCAATCAATAAGATGAGAATCTCGTGTAAAACAAATGGTTGTAGCGTATTCGATGGCCGAATGAACGTCTCATGGCTTAAACCAGTTAGTAGCCGAATATCTCGTGCAAACTAAATGGCTTTTGGTGTATTCATTGGTCGAAAATCTTGTGTAAAACCAATGGTTGTAAAACTAGAAATGTGTCCATAGGACACGGATGCCCCCACACGCCACTGTTCTGTCAATCTTATGGCTCTAGGTCAAATATTTTTTGGACTACATGTGCCACAAGTTGAAAACTAAAAATCAACAAAGGGCCATAATTCTGTTAAATTTGGTCGCAGCAAAAATTCCTTCCTTTACTACCATCTACACATTAAGGTTGTTAATCCCTGGTAGTTTAAGCAAAATCTGCCTTCCGGTTTAAGAGGAGTTGCGTTCACAAAATTTCTACATAGTATATAGTGAAAAAATCAACAAAGGGCCATAATTCTGTTAAATTTGGTCGCAGCAAAAATTCCTTCCTTTACTACCATCTACACATTAAGGTTGTTCATCCCTGGAAGTTTAAGCAAAATCTGCCATCCGGTATAAGAGGAGTTGCGTTCACAAAATTTCTACATAGTATATAGTGAAAAAATCAACTAAGGGCCATAATTCTGTTAAATTTGGTTGCAGCAAAAATTCCTTCCTTTACTGCCATCTACACATTTAGGTTGTTCATCCCTGGAAGTTTAAGCAAAATCTGCCATCCGGTTTAAGAGGAGTTGCATTCACAAAATTTCTACATAGTATATAGTGAAAAAATCAACAAAGGGCCATATTTCTGTTAAATTTGGTTGCAGCAAAAATTCCTTCCTTTACTACCATCTACACATTAAGGTTGTTCATCTTAAAGTTTAAGCAAAATCTGCCATCCGGTTTAAGAGGAGTTGCGTTCACAAAATTTCTACATAGTATATAGTGAAAAAATCAACAAAGGGCCATAATTCTGTTAAATTTGGTCGCAGCAAAAATTCTTTCCTTTACTACCATCTACACATTAAGGTTGTTCATCCCTGTAAGTTTAAGCAAAATCTGCCATCCGGTTTAAGAGGAGTTGCGTTCACAAAATTTCTACATAGTATCTAGTGAAAAAATCAACAAAGGGCCATAATTCTGTTAAATTTGGTCGCAGCAAAAATTCCTTCCTTTACTACCATCTACACATTAAGGTTGTTCATCCCTGTAAGTTTAAGCAAAATCTGCCATCCTGTTTAAGAGGAGTTGCGTTCACAAGATTTCGGGACGTACGGACGGACTGACGGACGGGGGGACTGACTGACGGACGGACGGACAAGTGCAACGCTATATGCTCCCACATTGTGGGGGCATAAAAACATCTCATGTAAAATACATGTAAATGGTTTAGCTTATTTATTTGTGAAACCAATGGATTTAACTTTATCATTAAACCAAATATCTCTTGTAAAATAAATGGTTTTAGTGTATTATTAGCTGAACATTTTGTGAAGGAACATTAGTTTTAACTTATTAGATAAGCCAAACTTAGTTCTGGCTTCCAAAACTTTATAAGCCGCTTTTTAATTTTTTTTTGTTTTTCAATCTGATGCGGCAGGTCATGTCATAGTATATAAACGGGTACGCTGAAGACCTTAAGCTAAGCCAAACATAGTGTGCAAGAAAAATGATATAACGTATCTATTGGTTGAATATTAAGTGCAGGACCAGCTTATTAGACAAGCCGAACATAATTATGGCTAAGAGAAATTATATAATGCAATCATTGCTCGAACATCTCGTGTAGTGCCAATGGGTTTACCTTATCAATAAGACAACATGTCGTATAAAACAAATGGTTTTAGCCTATTCTTTGGCCAAACATTCCGTGCAGAGCCAATGATTTTTTTTTTTCCAAATCAATTAGTCAAATATCTCGCGTAAGGGAAATGGTTAATCCAACATTTCGGGTAGAACCAATGATTTCACTTATCAATTAGCCAACATTTTGTGTAAGGGACATTGAGAACCTTGTGTAGTACCATATACACAACTATATAATTGATATTCTACAAGCCATTTAATGATTGCGTTTCTCTAAACTTGTTGCAAGAGACCCCCAGATTCTTTATGACCATGTTAATTAATTTTTATTTACAATAAAAGTTGCGCGTTCCTTAAATAAACTGAACACAAATAATTAAACAGCTACATTTGTATTTTAGTCTAGAATTCATCAATTATGTAAAAACAATTTACCATTTACAATTTAAAGCTAATTTTAATTCTTTAACTGTTCCGTTTAGAAAGACTTATATAACTCGGGTAAATGAGTTGGTTTCTAAAAGTTCAAGGTTTATAAGATGCCAGTTTGTACGTACTGTGTGCCAGAATTTTTTATACAATAATTACTCAGCTAAACTGAAATAAAAGAGAATTATATTTAGACTTTTAAAGGCACATTATGCCTCAGAAACGAGTTTTCTTCTTTAGAATGTGCAAACATGGGTTTAATACTGATAAGAAAATGGCTTTACAGCATGTTAAAGCCTTATCTCCTGGATATGACATTATTATGTCTGTCATAAAAGTAGCAAAATGTAAAGAAAGTACAATTTTGACTTCACTACAAAATACTGAATCACTATAACACAAAAAGCAACAGAAGCACAATACGATTCAGGTAATTGACTTTTTAAACATGCAGAACACCAAAATAAAGTAAAAATTTTTGGGGGCATAATGGGCCTTTTTTTTTCTAAGAAAAAATCAGACATTTGTTAGGAGATCCTGGGAAATGGTGTTATAAATCAGAATCGATCGATGCAGAAGCGTCACTTCCGGGTTTCGTCAACCTCATTGATGAACTGCACATTTTCTTCAGTATTCATCTAATTTGGTATTTGTGTCGATCAGAATCAACCAATCGAGGAACTATTTTACCCTCACTTTCTTACTCAGCCCCAACAAACTGAAAATTATGCGCTGAAAGGAAAACGTTTTTTTTAAGAGCTTCAAGCAATTTTTGGGTTGCACAAACACAGTACATGCCATATGGCGACATTTCCAGCTTTACTGGTAGAGGAAGACCTCGGGTGCCCTTTCGCTCATTATTCCAGGCACAAACGGACACCTGTGTAGAACCACCGACGTTCCATAAGCTAGCCGAATAGCTCACTGACAGAAAGAATCCAAAGTTTCCCTGTTGGGGGTCGGGAACCCCCCTTTCATTTTAAAAAATTAAAATCAACACCTTAACCCCTCGGGCCCCGGACTCCCAGGGCTTTTTGGGAAACGATCAAAAAAACGCTTCCACCCACAAATTCCGGGAAAAATTTTTAATCAACATCATTTTTAGACTAAACAAAGCATTCAAGGCCCGGCCCCTTTTTAAGGCCCCACTTTTTAGTTGGGGAGGGGAAATTTAAACGAAATTTATATTTTGCCTGTTTACTGTTTTCTTTGGGCGGGGGCCATTTAACCGGGCACTTTTTTGAACATTTTTTCCTTTCAGAAAAAACATAATTTTAACCTAGAAAATTAAAAAAAATTTGAACGTTTCAGTTAGGTTCTTTTTCCCAAAATAACAAACTAGGTTTTTTTTTATATTTAAAGTATAGGGCACTTATATTTTGAGGCTCGGGCATGGAGGGTATCAAAAATTACCTTAAATTTTTCACACTTACAGTACCATGTGTCCGGACAGATATGTACATGACGTGATTTAATTCAGATAAAAGCTTTGGTGTTTTGATTTTTAACATGATATACAATATTTCAGCAACAAATGCTGAAGTTTTGGATATTCTATTGTTTACTCTGAAAATGATTATAGCTTGTATATGAGGTCAGGCATTGTTTACTTGACCCCCAAATTTCAACGTCAACATTCTTGAAATAGACATTAAAATATTACCATTTACACAGGTTGAAATAAATTTATTTGCTTAATTTTAAAAGAAACTAACATTAATTGTTGATAAAAAAGTGACTGACAACCACTGAACAAAGAAAATTCTAAATTAAGCATTTTTGGGGCCGTCCGGGTTTGGTGGTCCCCAACCAGTAACCTTTGACCTAAATATTAATAGGGGCCATCTGTTGGTAAAAATATACTCTCAAGCCAGCTCACCAAATAGTTACCATTTTATTATGCAGACATCGATATGGCTTACACCAGACAACCAAAGTACCATTAATGATTATAGATAAAAAAATACCTTTGGGCGTGTAATACACATGCAATTGATATTTTAGCCACATAATTCCTATATCAAACTAATTTTTTGTTAACTTTTTTTTGGTAGGGCCCCTTCCCGTTAAACCCAATTTTCCAAAGCCCGACAGACAGGGTACAAAATGGTGACATTTTTAAAATAAAAAAAAACCACCCCCTGCCACCTCCATTTCCAGAGAGCATAAACACCAGCTTTCAGGACTGTTTGCTGGACTATTTTCAGTGCTTGCTTGATGTCACACCATGAGCAGTCAATGTGCAGTTATTTTTATACAAGAAATCAAAAATAATCTGTATCAATTTTTATTTATTTACTTTCAAACATCTTTTATGTAGCAGATCACTTATCTTCCTTTTAAGACCGCCAGCATGAGAAAAATAACCCTTAATGTTCCGACTTCTTTATTAAATTGACAAACTTACTTTTAACAGATATTCATTGCTGTAGCTCTTGAAATAATAATAATAATAATAACAACACACAAAAATCACTTGTCCTCAATTCTTAATATTTATCTTCAACATGTTAAGGATATTTCACTATATATACTGAACCGAAAAAAGAAACTTTCGCAAAGTATGTGCCAGTTGTTCAAGAGTACCACTTAGATGTACACACTTATATACATGTAGTAGCTTGTAAAACTCGTTTTGTTTGCAAAATCGGTCAGCTAATCCCCGTATTAAAAGCCCGATATGTTTATTCAACGTATTAAAAAATCGAGTTTCAAAAGGATTGAAAAACTGTACTATTAATAAACATACATTGTATCTACATTCAAACTTGGGTAAAGTTTCTTTTTTGTTTCAGTATATATATTTATTATATACTTAAAAATGAAATATTGATGAAACAAAATGCATATTTTCATATTTTTATTTTCCATTATTTCACTGTATTTTTTTGTATTTTTCACTGCAAAGAAACACATTTCCCCTATTTTCACTGGTGTCTTGTCGAACTATTTTCTTCTAAATTCAGCCAATACACAAAATTAACAGGTATTTAGGTTAAAAAAAGAGAAAAAGTATATAATAAACAGAAAATTCAAGTTGATTTTTCTATTAATACAGGATTTATTTTCATCTTGTGGTATGAAAATTATCACATTTCATTAGTAGCTACTGCCACTCGTGAATTTTTTTTTCCATACCACTTGATTAAAATAAACGCTGTATTCATAGAAGAAACTTGAATATCCAATATATATATATAGATATATATATATTTTTTATCTACATGTATATATATTTTTTTAACAACATAAACATCTTTTGAATATGATTTTTAAAATGAAGATAAAGATTTTTTCTCATGCTAACGATCCTCAATAAAAACAAGAAGAAACTTTCATTAGACATTCCTAACTTGTTTCAACACTTTAGATGATTTTAGGTGATTTAATAATAATAATAATAATACAACAACAATATTAAAATATAACAACTTATAGTTTAATATGAATTCATTTATATTTAACTTCATGTAAAGCAAAGAGTTCTAACATTACAAACTTACATAGTGATGATGGTTGAAGATTTATGACTAATTGAAAATGGTATTATCTACAGTAATGTAATAATACTGTAGAACTGGTTATATTCGCATAAAGATTATTTTTCACTAATATTTGCTGATCAATTTCTTCACAAATTCATAGTTATTCCAAATAAATACATATGCCCAAATTGTGAATATCTTAATCTATTCAGCCTCACAGAATTTTAAATATAAACTTGAAAATAAATTAAGCACACCCGGCCTCAATTTTGACATGACCACAACAACTATAAATTTTTAAATTTTATTTGGGAAATGGTTTGAACCACCTGTAGTCAACCTGCAACAACTTGAACAAGCTCTACACCAAGAATGGCAAAATTTACCTCAAAATCGTATTAGAAGCCTTACTGGTACATGTAGTATGAGGAGAAGGGTTGAGGCTATCATCCGGGCATGTGGCGGTTACACACGTTTTTAAAAATTTGGATACAAAATGTCATTTTACACCACGCAATCCCGGGTGTGATTAACTTATTTCCAGGTGTATATAATAATGACAAAAATTAATGAATTTAAATTATAATGAATATGCAAATATAGCAAAACACATTTTTTTGGAGAAAACAAAACAAAACAAAAATACCCCTGAAATTTTTACAATGCAAATTTAAATCATTCTACAGTATTTAACAGTGATGTAATGTGAAAATCATAATTAAATATAATGAAATGATAAAAGTGAAAGTTGTAAGGATGCAGCAAATTCAAAAATGGGCAATCATTCAAAACTTATGACATGAACAGTTATTGTAAATTCATGTTGATGCATATATATTTGCAGATAGTTACAACTTTTCTACATTTACCTTAAAAATGAAAACATTTATTCTTCTTTAAAAAGAACATACATTTACAGTGATTTTTCACCTTATATAAAAGAGGCCTTGCAAATATGAATTTTCTTTAAAATCATGCCATTTCCCCAAAAATCCAAAGTTACGCCTGTCTTTTTTTCTTCCCAATACAACAATTTTAGCGCCAAATCTTTCCAAAATCAATAGGCTACAGCCTATTCCGAATAAAAGGAAAAATCACTGCTTTATTTTAAATATAAGGTAGAATCATTTTAGTTGTTTATCATTTGAAGACAAGTCTGTCCAGGATCTACTCTGTTGGTAGCGCCAATTTTGAAAACCCCTTAACCTTTGAATGGACTGTTCCAAATTCAAAGCTGGGCTAATTCATTACACAAATTTGGGAAGTTAAACCAAATAAGTTGATATAATGGGAAACTGAAGTACAGAAAAATCTTAAGTTATAAATACCAGTATCTATACAGTTGAAAATTTATTGGAACACAAAATATATATACCTGTGACAAAGTAAGAAGATGATATAAAGAAATTAAATTTGAAATTAGCATAAATGTTGTGTACAAATTGAAAAAATTAAATTCTGCATTTACTTCTAGAAAGCTAAATATTATACAATAAAGTTTCTATAACTTAATCAATGAATGTTACAAATCAGGCTGTAAAATATACATGTACACTTATATAAATTACACCAAAATCATTAAAATATTTTAAGGACTCAAAACTGGTCCCAAAAAAAAAACAATAATCAAACTTGACATAGAATTTTGACAGTTTCTATGGTTACAATCAGGAAGCCAGACAAAGATTTAATATGATAATGTTACCACTTCAGCGTTTCAAAAGCTTCAAATATTTCATTTTTTACTCTTTTGGTTTGGTTTTACATCGCATCAACACAATGCAAGTCATATGGCAACTTTCTAGCTTTATTGGTAGAGGAAGACCTCAGGTACCCTTCTGTGCATAATTCAGACACAAACGGGCACCTGAGTAAAACCATGGATGTTCTGTTAGCTAGCTGGAAAGCTTCCTCACATGAAAGAATCAGAATCTGAACCCACAACAGTGACAGGCAAGTCGTTTGAAGTCAACGACGTCCGCCATTCGACAAAGGACGCTCAAAATAAATATTTCATTTGACAACCTCGGCAACTTCAGCCTAATCATTTATTTATTAAGTTGTGCAACAAACATTCAAAACAAAATTTTGTAAACACAAGTTGAAACTACAATATGGCATAAATTGTTAACAACAATATTTCATTTGATAACCTAGATATTTTTTGACAGATCATTTATTTATTAAGTTATGCAACAAACATTCAACCAAAATTATAAACACAATTTGAGAAACACAATCATATGGCATAAATTGTGACAAAGATCTTCATTAATTTTAATGGAGAAAAGTTTTATGCTTAAGCAAAGCAGAAAATTATAAAAAATCTGATAAAATATAGGGGAAAAAATTCATAAATTATCAGGAATAATAATAATAATAATCGGGACAAAAGAAATAAGAGCATTGCAAAAGTTGGGCAATATACGCCCGAATGCAAGTTTGTTTTAGTAATTAATCTTTCAAATGGAGAAAAGATCCATTCTGAATAATTATATTTAATAAGTTTCAAAAATATTTGAAGAAAATTTGAGAAAAAGCAGTAGAATATTACAGTCAAGTATGGACTATATTCTATTCTTTATAGCATGTTAACCTCCCTTTTATATACTGCAGACTTATAGACAATCACTGCACAGTTATCTCCCTTTGATATAATACTTAACTGAATGACCGTGGCCTGGATATGAAAAAGCTGTAACTTGCATTTTGCAAATCATTTCAATATGATTACCATTTTTGCAGGGCGTACACATATTTTGAAATTCATACCAAGTAACAGGGTGGACATAAATTTTTGAAATTCATACCAAATGACAGAAGCTCAAGCCAGCGCTCTGCTTCTACCCTTTACAGTGGAGCTTTAGCTTTCATCAGTCAGTTTAAAAATTTAGAGTGAACACAAAACTATTAATGAGCAGACTGCCAAATGCATAGCATTATCATCCAAATTGCTTTTAAGATTTCTGTTTTGAATGGCAATTTTGCAACAATTGTATAAATAGTAGGAAATCTGAAGGGTCAGCTTAAATAAAACACCTCTATAGATTATATAAGAAACTCTATGACGGGGCAATGTAAAGGATATTTTGTTTTACAGTCGTATCATTATTGACATTGCAGCATCGATACATATTCTTAAATTACGTCACTCATACACAACTACATAAAACCATATATCAAAATGCATCACTATGATTACCCTAGTGAATTATAAATCCATAATTTGTCAATCTGTCCATTATTTCCTAAAAACTGTACTTGAAAACTGAAAACATGTCTGTTTATATCAAAATGAACATTTCGGGAAAGCATTTGCTGACCCATTTCTATGAACTTTGCTCACAAATATAGATGAAGTCATATCCGCAAAACTTATCTAAAAACAACATAAAAATTTGCTGCATTGGATTTCACAAGTATTTGTTCCAAATTGTCTACATTGCACATGAACCTCTTTTTAAATGTCACTTAGTACCAAAAAGAGCGCATCTAATTTTTGTGTGTAATGAATCACGATACATTGATGGTCGAGTCCCTATATTTGTGCTGTATTCTGCGAGGAACGCTTGTTGTGTGGCGTCCATTTGAGATTGTTTGGGTCTATCATCTTAATATCTACTGGACGTTTTGACACTTTCTCCAAATAGTCATCTATCAGATCCTGTAATATAACAACATATGTACTAAAATGCTCATACAAAGGTACTTCAATATTCATATGAATATACTAAAATACTCATACAATGGTACTTCAATATTCATATGAAGATACTTCAATATTCATACAAATGTACTTCAATATTCATATGAAGATACTTCAATATTCATACAAAGGTATTTCAATATTCATATGAAGATACTTCAATATTCATACAAAGGTACTTCAATATCCATGTGAAGGTACTTCAATATTCATACAAAGGTACTTCAATATTCATATGAATATACTAAAATACTCATACAAAGGTACTTCAATATTCATATAAAGTTACTTCAATATTCATACAAAGGTTCTTCAATATTCATATGAGAATACTAAAATATTCATACAATGGTACTTGTACATTTATACAAATATACTTGAAAATTCATACAAAGATACTTAAATATTCATTCACTATTGAGAACACATAAAATCACCTTGCTTTAATCTACAAAGCAAATCTCAAAATTTATTTACATAACACAAGTGGTTTGACTTATGTTTAACGCATAACTGCATTGTTTAAGCTATGCATGATGTCTATTAAACCCTTAGCACCCTTGATATCTTAAACGGTTTAATATCTTGAACGGTCTATTCAGTCCTTCAATCTGAACAAAACCATTCATCACTTTCAGGGAAAATCTCAAAATATGTGCCGACTGAATATAGTGAACAGTGCATACAATGATCAGACTGCATGGATGTGCCAGCTGATCTTGGTCTGCACTGGTCTCAAGGGCCCAATATTTTGCCACCAGCAGGCAAGTTGTTAATGTATAATACATGTACGTCATTGTTTTACCTGTCTTTTAAGTACGAGATGTTTCCCTTTCCAGTATTTCAGCATACCCAGTGCCTGTAATGTGCTAACTATATCATTAGCATTGATGGCTGTTTCCTGACTCACATCTGAAACACAAGGTTTACACTCATATCATATAAAACTTCAATAATATCCTCTAATTACTGTCTTAGAGAAAAATGTCATATCAATAATAATGAGTAGTGTATTTAAATCATTTGAACAGGACTGCTAATTGCTAGCATATTGTTGTTTTTCCTGCCTAATTAATCCGTTATCCGTTTAAAAATCTTTCATGGTTTGGTTTTACGTCACACCAACACAGTTTAGGTCCTATGGCAACTTTCCAGCTTTACTGGTTAAGGAAGACCTCTGTTGCCCTTCCATGAATTTCAGGCATGAAAGGGCACCTGAGTAGAACCACTTACATTCTGTAAGCTAGCTGGATAGCTTCCTCACATGAAGGATTTAAAAGTCCCTGTCAGATTCGAACACACAGTGCTGAAGGACAAGTTGTTTGAAATCAACGGCCTTAAACATTTGGCCACAGATGCACTTTACATCATTTTTAAGGGAAATTTCAAAACAAGTACTACCTGAATAGCAAACAGTGCAGATCATGATCTGATAGATAAATATTTTGAGCAAAGCATGAATATAACAAAAGCCTTGCAAGGGTAACATAGCAGACAAGTGGCCCAACGTTTCTGCATAATGACTGAATTTGATTACAATTTTACCAAAGTTTAAGGCAATGCAAGAAACAGCTTACCAGATGTATAACAAGTATGACATCTCTTTGAATATATAACAATGCATACCTTTGATACAGAATTCCGACCCTGAAAATTTCTGTAGATACTCGAGTAAAACTTCTTTCCAGTAACTTCTATAACTTAACAAGCCAAGGTCGGACAGTGGTCGTTCAGGAGATCCAATTTTGTTCTCTACCTTACTTAATAAATAACCTGTATAAACACAATACACATGAAGCATAATGATCACTAGCTTATTCTTTAAAGCAAATATTCAAGTATTTTTTAAAAGAGTTAATTTATACTAATTGCCTAACTAAAATATGTTTAAAACAGCTTATGGTTTTGGTTTCTGCTAAGTTTGAGAAATATTTGAATAAATCGAAGAAAAAAATAAATCTTTTTTTTAAAGTAATATTTTTACATAGTTTACCAATTCTATACATATGTGAAAAGTATTGATAAATGTTTCATGTAGTGTAAAATAGTAATTTAACAATGATTTTAAAAAAAGAATATTTGTGGGTTTTTTGTGTGATATATATTTCATAGAGTGAACATCAAGTACATTTTCAAAAGTGGCATAGCCTTTAGTGAAAATATAACATTTGGTGTTTAAGCTAGAAATACAATCTGATATTTCATACAAAACTACAAAACAAAATGAGTGCTCTATTTATTTCAGGCTCTTTGAATGGATTTAAGCCATACTGACTAATTTTTGTCACATAAATCATGCCTTTTCTTTTTTGATGTCATAATATTATGACATCACAATATGCATTTTAATAAATAGTTCTGTACATTTTATTGAACCATGTTAAAACTTAACATAATGTATCCAAATGTTTAATCACATTTTAATATAATTCAGCTACAGTGAAATTAAATTTCGATTATCTTGCAATGAAAATATCAATAAATAATTTTTCTGTCCACCTCAAAAGAATGTAATTAGACACTATAATCCAAATAACACAATGTTAAACACTTACTAAAGTCTATCAACATTTTACCAAAACCTTTCCTCATGTACTGTGGTAACGTCAAGATACATGACACATTGTAGTTCAAGAAGGAATTCTTCTCCTAAAAGAAAGGAAATTTTTTTTTTTGTTAATTTATTTATCCTTAAATTCAGTTTATAAAACTTATACATAATGACACTGATAAAAAAAACTTCATTAAGTATGTTGACTGGATCAAATTACTGTAAATAATTCCAAATATTTATCAAATGTCATCCAACACATAATGTAACAAACACTTATGTGAAATGGGAAAATTAAAAAAAAATCACACTGATTAACACTGATTAAACATGTATACATGTAAGTATATAGCTTAAATTGTATATTTTAAAATATTTTTACAAAATTTATGGATGGTAACATTATGTTGCCTCTATACAATTATGGTTTTTCACGAAAGAGTTTAACACATAATGTCTCTGTTGATTAACACAGACTTATATTCTACATTACACTAACTGTTAACAAAATAAAAATGTTCCAGAACAAAATATAAGGCTGCTATTTTAACAACAAGGGCTTTTAACCATTTATCAGTACTAACATGCATGCACAATTCAAACTTCACTCAGCTATTTTTGGATTTATTTTTTATATTTTCCCTAATCTACAGACAGCAGCTAGCTAGCTTATACAGCTTTAATGTCTCACCTTGGAGAAGTAACCGAGTATATGACAACCATGTGTATCATTTTCTGTCATCACATAAAACAGGAATGGCTCAACATCAAAATATAGTGTCTTGTGATCTAAAAATAACTTGGCCAGCAAGCATAGATTCTGACAATATACCTGAAAAACAAAACAATGAATCACTAATATGACTTTACTATTCCCGTAACTTACTCAATTCTTAAAATGGACCTCACCAGCTTCTATTTTTGAACTTGTTCATTATCAGTTTTGGAGATATAAAATAAAAAATTCAGACACCAGTATAGAGCCTGGTCAGAGTGCATTTAGGTCTGGCTGACCTGACTCTTAGTCTATCCTGCTAGCAAGAGCAAATCAATTTGGCTTTCAACAAGGTAAGGGTTATCAAAGTTGAAAGAGACCTAATTTTTCGCTAATGTGAAAACTGAATTTTTTTTTCATATAAAATTCACTAAAATGGACAAAAGTTAGGACAATAATTCCAGTTTACTGAGGTTCCTGGTTTACTATGGATTTAGGTCTAAAGAATGTTTACTCACTCAATATAATGGAATTATAACTTCTTATACACCTTTAAGATTTCTGAAAAGTTACCATAGTAAAGAAATACAAAGACCAGGTTCCATTTCCTGGAATACAACACTACATATTAATAGTCTCAAGTGTAAAACTGTCAAACATAGAGATGGACTTTCTGTGTTAAATTTAAAAATAATTTTTTTTCAAATCTGACGAATATTTTGAGAAAATCCAAAATTAATCTATCTTTTAATCTATCAGAAATGACAAAAATTGATATGAATAAAGCTTAACATGTCTGGTATAACCATTCAACAGTCTTAAACAATATCACCCTTTGTCATTTTGCATCTATTTAAAAATTCATATAAGGTTTGAAGAGCATCAGCAAAATATGCAATGCCTAATATTTACAGAGTTAAACTTTACCAGCTATTAAACAAACCTTGTTTTTCTTTCCATCCACTTCAAACACAGAAATGTTATTTTTTCTGTAAATCTCATCTCCTGGAGGGTGTCTCCATACACATTTAGCCTGTAAAAACAAAATACTTTATACATATTTAGCCTGAAAAGGATATAATTACTTCATACACATTTAGCCTGTCAAACATTTAACCTCTTTAGAGTTAGAAAATTCCTCTTGTCTGCTTGCATTTTCCAGTAGAACCTGCGTTATGACATGTACAAAAACCTAGTTTGCTTGTTCAACAGGTCATGTGGAAAATCAAAGAAGTAGATGACCCACTGGAATGGTTATTATCAAAATGTTTACATTTCACTACGGAAACGGAAACCAAGCAGATATTATGAGTTATGTATAGCATGTGCGCTGTATAAACTGCACAACAGGTGCATTAAATTCATGTTCCTTTATTTATTAAGAGTATTAAGGGCCGGCAAACCTGATTTTTACTTACTTGCCCATTTTTATCTGGAGCATTTCTTAACTTGTCTGTATACTATCTGTATAGTCAATCCTAGAAAGTTTTCACCTGCCCGTTCAGGCTGACGGACAACTTGGGCAATTGGGACAATTGATTTTGGCGCCCCTGAGTATTAAACACACGAGCATATTTACAAACTTTCCCTAGTATAACAGAGAATACACTCTACAGTAAATTAACTCTTTACTCTTACCACATGTCTTCTCAATATGGTTGCTGTTTTCATATACTTCAAACAGAATTCACACAGGTAGATTTTAGGCAGACGAGCATACTCGTCGGGATACGGGCTGGAGTACCACGTTGACATCTCATATCGACCGATCTCCAATTTCTTTATTCGATACTCCTGGTTGTCAAACCTCTGATAATGGACGCTCATCTCATGTTCCTATATTTAACATCATGTTTTATTAAATAGATGTATAACAACAATGAACAAAGATATTTTTTACATATCATCAAAACTGACTATTTATTTTGTTCGTATTTTTGATTTTTACACTAAATTTATTATCTAAGACATTGTTTGGTCATATTTCAGCAGTGGATCCATCCATTGGACTATACTGAATATTTTAGTAACCAGTTATTACCAATGTCTCCCAAAGTGACAAACTACTAACCTCACATGATATCTAAAATAGCAGTTAATAACCAATGACCATTAAACTCAATGTTTGAGAATAACTATCACTTAGATAATCTCCTCGCCTGAGGATCAAATAGAGAATCTGGATTACTAATCCTATGGTATGAAGGTGGAATATTCAATAATGGTACTTTACTAATGTAAAGGAAGTCTCTCATTACAAAAGTTCGGGAAGATTCTAGTTTCTACAGTCACAGAAAGACGCAGTAATCTTCGACAATTATCTGTGTTAGTTCTGCGCATAGATCTAAATGAGTGTTTATCACCTGTGCCAAAAGATTACATAATCACTGTAGATATACCAGCTTTAGAGCTGAACAATTAATATCTTTTTGACCTTAACATTCATTAGACATAAGGTGTGACACATTCAATTTAAATGATTTTAAACTTTTATCATTGAAAATAGTACTAAACCAGACAAGAATAATACACACACACTGTACTATACACTGTTTTGTTTTCATACCCTGATCTGACAATTTTTGGTAATACCACGGCCGTCGTTCCACCTAGCTGTTTTTTCTGGATAACAACCCAGTAAAAATACAAATTTCTCAACAAGTGACCATACAACTAATCCCGAACTATTTTTGAATCAGCAGTGAGAGACAAATGACCATGCTACAGCTACAATATCTGAGATCAAATGTCACATGGAAATTTAGCCTCTCCCGAGGGTCAAACCAGTAGTCCCTAGATTATAAATAAAATGCTCTTCCAATTAAACAAAGCAGACAGACTTTGATCTGCAACATTATCACAATTATGCTTACTCTCTGTTCACATGCTCTAGCCTGGGCATCGTAAAATAGTTTTAGATCGTATTCTGAGGCTAAACCATTTAGTAACGGTTGTCTGGACTTCTCATATTTGTCTGAATGTTCTTTATGTGATGCCTTGATTTCATCGGTCTCCTCTGGAATGTTCTTCCTTGCCTTCTCTATTATTTCTAATTTAGCTTTCTGATCATCATTAGCATGCTGTAACAAAGATAAGATGCTAGAGCTACTTTGACTTTAGCATATGATACATTTGAAACAAGATATGCTACAGCAACAAGATATGCTACAGCTACATTGACTTTAGCATGTGATATATTACCAAACAGAAGATGTTAGAGCTGTTTTAACTTTAACATATGATACTTAAAGTTGAAGTTAAACAGTTAACTTGAGCATGTGAACGATAAACCTGCATGTAAATACAATAAAAATATCTCCTACAACTAAAGAGGTTTCTGATGATAAAAGTTAATAAGCATGGAAGGTAGCTGGACAATTCACTCATATACTTATGTAAATAGAGTGGCATAATAGCGTAACATGATTAAACAATACACTGTGTGAAAAACATCAAATCTTAATTAAACACTAAGAAAAAGTTCAATCTTTTACCTGTCTGCGTAGACCCTTTCTATCTGTGAGTGAATTAATGAAGAGTTGTCTTTCATCAGCAGATTTCTGTCTGTCATCATATCTGTCCTGTATTCAAATCAACCATTAATACTTAAATATCTTAAGTACTTAAATATCACCTATTCTAACACATTTTTTATTCCTGTATATCGGCAATCGGTCAACTTATAATGGCCTTCTTGTTTAATTATCCAGTAATTATCAATTTCTCTGCAAATGACTGGATAATTAACCAGTAATTATCAATTATCAATTTCTCTGCAATGACTGGATAATTAACCAGTAATTATCAATTTCTCTGCAAATGACTGGATAATTAACCAGTAATAAATTAATTTCTTTGCAAATGACTTTCAGTTTCCTTTTATACCAGTAGCACAAATTTTGGATGAAAATAGCAGCAGTGGCAAAATTAATTGTCTGTATTGCCCAGGTTGTCGTACAGCCTGTATTTTTCCAACATTTTCTTTATAAGTATCATACAGACAAGTGAAGAAATGCTTCAACAGGTTAAACTGAAAAGAAAGTCAAAATCAGATTTTGCCGGCCCTGTAATATTCAACATAGCTGAAATTCCCCCCCCCCCCCCAAAACACCCATTATAGTTCCAAAATACAAGTTCCAACACAAATTAAAACTGGTCATACAACTTTCTAGTTAAATTAGTTTTTAGATCCAATTGGAAATTAAATAATAAGCACTTACCTTACATTCCTGTGCTGTTGTATTATGATATAGAGGACATGCAGACAATGTCCTGTGTGATTCATGTTTTCCTGTAAGATGACCTACAAATGACAAAATAAATAATAAAGGCATTTATAGTCATAACAAGTTTGCATTTAAGGTAATTTAACAGGGTTCATACAGACCATCCAGGACAAAATTCAAGGAGTTTTCAAGGACTTTTCAAGGACTTTTTTAAGTATTTCAAGGACTAAAATATGTGAAACACTGAAGACAAATATGTGTAAAAGGGCGACAATGTATGAAATAAGTGTTTTACATGCAAATACCTGTTGAAGTACTATCAAATTTATGAAGTTTTTCTAAGTGTGCAAGATTTTGCAGTAGTTACTTCAGAGGGTGGGAGTGGTATTGTCAGATTATTGTTATTGTCATCTTTATTCAAGATAGTACTTGCACCTAAACTGAAGAAGCTAGTTATATCCTGATTACATTCTCTCGCTGTTGTGAATTGTTTGTGTTTCTCACTTTAATGTGCGATTTTATAGCGCTTTCACCCATTCCTGAATCGTCTATAACCTTATCACAAGTGCTACACATCGCCTTTCTTTAATCACCCTTGAATTCTTTAATGAAAGGGTATTTTTCTACACATTTTGGCGAGAAATTACACTTCTCCAAACCGGTCCGTGAAATTTACACGTCATGAATAATTCAATCATGTATAAAAGCCGATACCCATTCCGTACCGTCTTACTATCTCGTTACGAAGTTGTTTTTTTTTTTTTTTAAGTTGATGTATATTTGAGTTTTCTTATGTTTTTTTTGTTTTTTTGGCTGCTGTTTTACTCATTTTAGTCGTTTTGTGGTACTAAATGAGGAATTCGTGGATTAGTGAACAAAATTCTCAAGTTTCCTGTAAAATTCAAGGAGTTTTCAAGGACTTTTTCCCTTTTTCATGTTCTTTAGTGAGATCAGGACTTTAGTTCCTTGAATCAGAGATTACTATGCCTATTATTTGTTACAATGGTACACAAATTAAAATCGAATGTGCTATTTCCTTTATTTCTGATGGCATGAGGTAAATAATAAGTATTCATGCATAAATAATGCCCATGCAGAAGAGAAAACATTTGTGTAAACAGATAAAATCGCACAACACTTGCCATTACTGAATATTTTCCCCCATGTGTGATTAAAAATGGCAGACAGCAACTTGCTAAGATGACCTTATGACAGCCCTGGTTAACATAAAATTGAATAAAAGCCGTCAGTAGGACAGCATACTCGACTATTCTCAGTATTTGATAGTAAAACAAGAGCTTAGATCATGAAGAATTTTTTTAAATTCAGAAAGGGACAAAATTTTCATATTTAAAATCCATGTAAGAGTTATGGGCCTTTGACAGTGGCAACCTCTCTCAAATAAGTGTGTGAAGTTTCAACCCATTCCCTTTAGTAGTTTTGGAGACACCAACTTACATGCAAAAACTTCACCAAAGTGTGACAGTGATGTCGACACTGACCCCTGGTTTAAAAGAAGACGCAAACATAGAGGGCCAGACAACCAGGTTGACAAACATCCTCAAACCAATATCTATTGTTGTGCGATGTTTATTAATAACACTTTCAAATTTACCTTTTGAATCACAACCTGGCAGAGGACATTTAGCATTTGTTTCATTATAGTCCATGGATGGTGTTGGTCGTTTATCCGCCCACTCAGCCATTGAAGGATCCTCTGGGCTCTTACTTGTAACCGACTTGCCCTTACACTTGCCTTTCCCAGCCTTACCCGCTTTTCCACATTTAGACCGATTTGTCTTCGCCTTTTCTTTCTCAATATCCCCACATTCTGAGATTGTGTCTGCACTTGTTTGTGTCTTATTTTTATCATCTGTTTCTCCAATTTCTGAACCCGTGTCTTTGTCTTTAATAACACTTTTGCTTTTGTTTATTTTTTCTGTCTTTTCAGAACCTTCAATAGACTCTTTGGTCTTACATTTTGTATTTGAGACTACTGCACTTTTGTCTTTTGATTTCGTCTCGGGAGACTCTTTAGCCTTTGATCTTGTTGTACGTGGAGTAACGGCCGATGATTCAGACTCTGCATCAGATTCAATTTCAGTATTTGGTGCTACTTCTACTGGTTCTACTGTTGACGATCCAGACAACTTTCTTTTCTTTGGCTTAGGTGCTGTAGAAATGTTGCCTGTTGGGGTACTTATGACCGGATTGACTGAAAATGAATAATTATAATTATAGTTACTTTTATAGGTAATCTTGGTATCACTGGCCTCATTTTCTGTATTACATTATTTTACACTTTATGAATATTAACTTACAAAATAACAATTCTTTCATTAAAACTAAATTAAATGTATGAAAGAATTATATCAAAGCCACTTGTTCTTTGTTCCGAAAAACATCTTGGTATATGTTCCATTGATTACATTTATAGGTTCATTAACATGAAATAATGTTACTTTGTTTCCAGAAATTTTACTAAGAAACTTATTTTTGGGTTATTTGAACATTGACCTACAAATAATAAAAGTGACAACAGTTTTATATATATATATATAGCAAAAAATGTTTTTCAGTATAAGCTTAATACATCGTCTACCAAAGTGAAAGTAATGATATGTATCAATATGTTTGAGATTCCGTAAAAATGCAACATTCAGTATAAGCTTAATACATCGTCTACCAAAGTGAAAGTAATGTTATGCATCGATATATTTGAGATTCCGTAAAAATGCATGGAAATCAAGATTATTGTTTACAGTTAATAATTTTCTCACAACTAAGAAACTACAATTTGTGTTCACCAATATTATCTAGGTTTATATACAACAACATTGTCCCTACCCGAAGTAGTTAACAATGCACACCTTTTAACAACTATTACTTAGACTATGACTCTTTTTATTTCTAAGAAATGGAAGAAAACATATTTTTTTCTTTTTTTTACATCTTTGAGCAACATTAGCTATGAATAAATTACAAAAAAATCCCTGACAATTATATGTTCATAATGTTGAAACATTTTTATAATACCTGAAGATCTTCTCGTTACTCTAATTGGAGTACTCTCCTCCTCAGACCCATCACTTTCCTCAGCTGAACTACTGTTGTCTACATACTGAAAATAGAAAAATTATGAACAGGTTACAAACATTAACAACATTAATGTATACCACGCTATGTTGCATAGCTTCAGCCAATACAAATACATTGTTCTATTTCAATTACACGTTGAATAAAAATTAAATTTCCCGTTATAATTTGTGTTTCCCACTTCTCAAATGAAGCCAAATCATTTTGTTATTCAATGTAAGTATTTATATTTTCGCTAGTATGATATAAAATAAAGTCATTGACAAATAGGGGTCGGACAATGTGATTTGACATTTATGTGGCAGTTTCACCATGTGTCAGATTAAAAGCTGAAGACCAATTTCCAAAAGCAAAATATGCTTATTTATCACAATTATTCTTTTTAAATTTTCAATGGAACTGAAATTCCAGATAAAAACTAGCATGTGTAAAGACCAAGGCCGAAATGTCCAGGAGGTGTAAAGACGGGCAGCACGAAATACCCAAATATACCCAAATACACCCAAATTTACCCAAATACACCCAAATATACAAAATATTGCCTAAATATACCCAAATATTGCGGAATTATACTAAAAATAAATGTTTTATACTAAAAAAGTGCTGTTTTAATCATGAATACAATATACACTTTCACTAAGATATAATCAAACATACCCAAATATACAGGGGGCAGGGGACCTAAAAATGAAAAATTTTGTATTTCAGTGTGACCAGAAACACAATTCCAAATATTTCAAAATCTGTTTCACAGGCAGATAACCAGTTGCAAAGCATAATTCTAGAATATATATGACAGACATTGAAGAAAATAATCGTTTGCATGCATTGCTCCTAAAAATAATGACTGACAGCAATTTAAATTTACCCCCAACCAACAAAAATCACACCTAAAATGTACCAATATAGGCAATCTTCATGAAGGTGCAGCATACTCCAGAATCCGCCCGATTCCTTTAAAAATATCAGTAACACGCAGTGCAAGCTATGGCATTTTCAGAAATGACAAATAAAGTGTCTGTCATACGTTTAGATTTTTCACAAAATTTATCTGAAATTTCTTACTTGTTTGGCGCCAACTGTCAAAGCTTGATTTTTAACTTTTTCACCTCCATTCGGAGAGTCAGAAATACATACAAAGCTACCAAAATGCTTAGTTTCGGGTAAAAACCCAAAAATATATCTCATTTCCTACACACAAACAAGAAAGAATTACAATGACAGAGAAATATCAGAAGTTATCAGTACCTTCAAAACACCATGTCTGAGTTATTAAAAAATTTGACCGGGGCCATCATTCGAATATGTCCCCTGCCCCCTTAAGATTTTTTATGTGATTCGCATTAAAGCGTTTCCTTTTATTTTCTTAAAATATGGAGTATTTCGCATTAAACGTTAACTTCGAAAAGTGAATACTGCGGTTACTTTGTATTTAATCAAATATTTAAAAAAGACCCTATTTCAGGGGAAGTAACTAGTACAATGACCATGCCTGTTATATGATTTACTTAATATCAAGTGCCAGGAACCTGTGAGATGGTTATTTTTCTGTATTCCACCTTTATTTAAATACCATAAAGTATTTTCAGAGTATTTAAAGTCTTTTGGAAGGAGATTATAGCAAGAAAAACAATATTACAGCCACAATTAATGTCCCAAAATGAATTTCACAGGAAACCAGACCCCATTCATTCTTGCATACACCTAAAAGTGCAGTAAAGATACCACTGTTGACTTATATGACATTATGTACATTTGTAACAATTAAAAGTGCTCAATTATGCATTATTATGTCAATTTGCACAATATAAAACTGTTAAATCTGGATAAATGTGCACATTCTGTGAAGTACAGTGTTTGCCAAAATTCCAAATTTTTATTACCTCCCTTGACTTGACAGTCTACTTACTCTACATAACTTGATAAATCCTACCAGTCACTTCAAATTTTGACTAACAAATGTAGAAGGAATGTTTATGGGCACATTTGGGTCAATTCCAACACATTTTATAAATTTGAAAATTTCCTTAAGGGGGCAGGGGACCTAAAAATGAAAAATTTTGTATTTCAGTGTGACCAGAAACACAATTCCAAATATTTCAAAATCTGTTTCACAGGCAGATAACCAGTTGCACAGCATTATTCAATGATATATGACATACATTGAAGAAAATAATAGTTTGCATGCATTGCTCCTTCAAAAAATGACTGACAGCAATTTATATTTACCCCCACCCAGCCAAAATCACACCTAAAATGTACCAATATAGGCAATCTTCATGAAGGTGCAGCATACTCCAGAATCCGCCCGATTCCTTTAAAAATATCAGTAACACGCAGTGCAAGCTATGGCATTTTCAGAAATGACAAATAAAGTGTCTGTCATACGTTTAGATTTTTCACAAAATTTATCTGAAATTTCTTACTTGTTTGGCGCCAACTGTCAAAGCTTGATTTTTAACTTTTTCACCTCCATTCGGAGAGTCAGAAATACATACGAAGCTACCAAAATGCTTAGTTTCGGGTAAAAACCCAAAAATATATCTCATTTCCTACACACAAACAAGAAAGAATTACAATGACAGAGAAATATCAGAAGTTATCAGTACCTTCAAAACACCATGTCTGAGTTATTAAAAAATTTGACCGGGGCCATCATTCGAATATGTCCCCTGCCCCCACATTTTCCTATCATTGTGTTTTGAACCAAAATACAGTATATGTACTCCATTAAAGCTATTTTTTAATAACATGGACATTTGTATATGATATGTAATTTCAACAAAATTACACCTTAAAAATGTAGACAACAAATATCATATCTTGAATTAAAATTGCACGTAAATTCATAAAGAACCTATATTGTAGATAAGCTGGGATGTACTCGTATGTTCCAGAGATAAGCAAATGTCACAACTTTATTTTCTTACAACATCTTTAAAACTGCCCATTTCAACGGAAATTATGAATGAAAGCTTTAGCAGGCTAAGTCATATTATTTTATAAATATTTATTTATTTCTCATTATAATCTATATTTTATACAAACAAAAATAAATATTGCTATATTTGGGTATATTTGGGTATTTCGTGCCGCCGTGTAAAGACCAAGGCCGAAACGTCCAGGAGGTGTAAAGTCCACTAGGTATGTAAAAGAACCAAGGGGTCTACAACCAAGAACTAGGGACTGGTTCCATAATTCCCCTTATATCTCATAGCTGTCTCTAAGGTGATTAGTTTACAGTCATGTCTTCGTCACCGCGAGGGTTTGACAATAATGGAAGATAGACAGATTTATTGTTAGCCTGTAGTGGGTGGGGAGAAATATTCATAAATTTGTTTCCGCTATCATCACTAACACCAATGCCAAAAGGGACATTACCTTCCGTTTCGCCATTCCTTAACTTCAGACTATGTGACCTTTTTTATATATTGTGGAACTCCTAAAACAACAAAACAAGATAAACGATTAAAGGCGCAAAATCAATTATTATGACCGGTTTAAAAGGTTACTTCCGCTTTCACTGTAGAAAGCGACCTCTATCGGCTAAAGCAAAAGGCATAGTCTAAAAGAAGACGTATTAGCGAACAATGTAAACATATAAGGATCACTTTCGACGTTACACGTACTTTTTAAAACGGGTATTACTAGACACCGGAAAGGGCCTCTTTCCGCGGAAAGGACTCGTCGTGACCGGAAAGGGTCAATTTTATTCTCATTAATGGCATTTTTCAAAACATTTCAATCAATATAATTACAATTTATTGAAACAAATACATATCTGAATAAATTGATTTTTTTTTAAAAAAAATCGATATGATTTTGAGAAAAAAATCAATCAGCCCTAAAACCGCACTGACGGAAAGGACTTTACATGATCGGAAAGGGCTGCATACCTTCGTTGTACATACTGCATTTTTGAAAGATTTCAATAAACATAATGACAAATAAATATAGAAAATACACATATATCTTACATTAAAAATGGTTTAGATTTCGTACGAAATTCGGCCAGTCTTAATTAACTGATCGGAAATGACTTAATAAGAGTGAAAGGAAAGGGCCGACTATTTTTTAATAGTGGGAATATTTGAAATATTTCATAGAATGTTATTAACATCATTCGTAATAACTTATTATTTATGTATATTTAGGATATAGATAGACACCGAAAATAATCCAATTTCGCGATAAATAAGATCGATGCCACGAAAATACGATTAATTTTTGATACAGTGCAAATATCTGTTTAAATGTTTTTGTTAATTATGTATATATATGCTTTCTTTGAACGATTTTACAGCAAACTTAATTTACAGACAAAAATAAATTGAAAAAGTGAAGTTTGTGCATACAAAGATTGCCGAGTAATATTTATCTGTGGTTAAACCAAAATAAATGCGGGTCTACGAAAATAAGATATACATTTAATATACTGCTTTTTTAATGATTATGTTAATTATGAATTAAGTTTTCTTTGATTGACTTTACAGCAAATAAGATGTGCAGAAATAGAAAGATATTAAAAAAAGATGTTTGTGTCGAAAAAACCTCATACGAAAATAGATGATATCGCAAGTAAAGCGAAAATAGGATGTGTTTGTATTTTTTAAAGTGTAATTTGAAATATAAGGTTTGCATTAATATGTAATTTTTTGTTATTGTTAAACAATAATGTTTATTTCGAAGAGCGTTCAGTTACAGATGCTAAAAATTAATCTGCATCAAGGCCACACCACGCGGAGGAACTCTTCCCATGGCCCAATTTTTTTAAATTTATTGAGAGATTTGAAATTTATTTCTAAAATTGTTTAAAATATATTCAAAAGTATTAATGATAGTTCTAGCTATTTTATAAAAAAATATCTTTACCTTCCAACTACTATTATACCATTTCTTAATATATATGTATATTTGTTGATAAATATTGTTTAATGTAAAATTAAATTTATAGATTTATATGTTTGTATAGAACAGAACAGAACAGAACAGATACTTTGTATATATGATCAATATTTGAAGTATTTTTTCTGTTCATTAGCCAAAGGCAAGTTTTTGTCTATATTTGCTAATAAAAGTTGTTGTTGTTGTATGATTTGGTGACTGTGGTAAATCGCCAATAAATACCCTTTAATGATTGACATTATTAAGTATGTGTCAATTATGATAAGTCCGATAATCCAATTATCGTATTAGCGCATTGATTACTGTCGATAATCATGCGTGCGTGTGCCATACGTTACATTATTTTTCCCTCTCTCAAATAGAAAGACTATCTAGTTAAAGCAATAAAGCTTTTCAAAATATAAAAAATAATTATTTCATATTAGTCTTATTTTCATTTATCATTTATTTTCGTATAAATCATTTTCATATGGACCTTATTTTCGTATAGTTCCTAATATTGTACGGACATTACTTTAATATAGATACCTAATTTTCATACAAATGTTATTTTCGAATAAATCTTATTCTAATGCAGACATTATTTTCATAAGGATCTTATTTTCGATTAGATAATATTTTAAGATCTTATTTTCGAACACGTATTATTTTCTTACAGTTCTTATTTTCGTGTAGATAGCATTGGATGTTATTTTCGTACATATAGTTTTTCAGATATTATTTTAATACAGCTAACAGATCTTATTTTCGTAAGATTATACTTCCATTTGGATCTTATTTTCGTGCATAGAGGCTACTGGATATATATATATCATTTTATACTGGAATTATTTTCTTACATATATTCGTATATATTTGATTTTCGCATGGAAATATTGTGATAATTCAAGTATTGAATTTGAACCATGTCACGCACCTTTAAATGATCGATATAATTTCTGCGCGCTGTACAATTGCAAACTGCAAATTGTTGTATTCGTCAACAACTGATTTCTTTAAAGCAGCATGCCTCCAGATTTGAAAGTTGATTAGAAAATATTAACTTGTGAAGTAGCCAAAAGAAAGCAATTTGCACATTATCAATGATACTTACATTCCATGTTAACTACCAAAATTTAATATAGAGGTGAAAAATATACAAAAAATGCCAATTACTGCGTTAGCAACGCATTAGAAACATGAATTTAACTTCTGAAAAATCTGCCATTAATCGCACATATTTTGACAATTATTACTTGAAGCTTGAATCTGTTTACTTTTTCTAAAATCTTAGCACATTTTTTTCTCATTCTTGATTTTATTAAAATATTTTGGCTCATCTGGAGGCATGCAATGATTTTTTCGTTTTCCGTGAAATATGGAATATATTTGCACTTAAAATGATAAAATTTTATATATTTTACTCGCCATTCCGGCTCGTGAAAAAAGAAGGAATTTTACCATGTTTAGGGAAAATATACTCCATATTTCACTTATATATCACACCCGGTACCTGAAAACCTATAGTCGCCTTTTTGCACTTTTAGACGGTGTCCTAGAACGTTCTGCGCATTTTCTCTTTCTCTGGTTAGGTTTGCGTCCTGCGGAAGGAGTTTTTATTGCAGTTCGCGTGTCGTCAGCAGAGGTTACTTCGTTTGGTTTAGATCTGCCATAGTCCATCAAGAATCTATTCGTTTTCTTTTCCCGTTGGTCCTCTTGTAAAGCCGCCCATCGGTCAACGTCAATCAAATTGTGAACATATCTGTCCGACAGTCTAAAATTTCCCATATCCCTAATAGCTCTACAGCTAGAGGCTCTTCTTATTACAGATAAATCTTTGTAGACTGTAGGAGTGACGTGAAATTCCCCTATAATGTAAAAGTTATAATATTTAATTATGTATTACAACCATACGATATATAATTAAGGTAAACATAAGCGCAATTATTTCTGAAATGCATTAAAGAATTATTAAGCCTCAGAAATGCTTTATTTTTTCAATTTACAAAAGCGGGTTTTTTATTTGGTTCTAAGATATAATGTACCTGTAAGTATGCTAACATATAACAAATAATTATGACGAATACATGACCGTATTAAGAAAGTGGCAATTTTACAAACTAATTAAAATATTTACCCAAATTGTAAGTCTTGTCCACTCCCAAAATAGATCCATTCTCCTTGCATGCGAATCGTTTGATGTCGTGAATCTGTTGTTGGGTGTAGAGAACAATCAACGGGAACGCACTGCCACCCAATAGATTGACGCTCTTTACAAAGGGATGAGTTTTCCCTAGCTCTTCGATTTTAACTATTTGGTCGGCAATGATACCTGAGCGGCCATTTTGATTATTCCCCGTCAAATTGTATTTGATATTTCTTAACTGTTTCTCGTTCCTCTGTTTATCAAAATCATCATTTATTTTTTTATTATTTTCCCTTTCTACATCTTTTGCGGATCTGTTTTCAAGTTGATTTTGCAGCATGTCATGAACCTTTTGTTTTGTCCTAAAATATTTTACATTTTTACTTTCATCCTTAGCAAGACCATGGTATAAGCGACCAGGAAACGTTCCAATGTATTCAACAATAGCCACATCTCCTGAAATCTCTGGCAAGATACCTGGACCTTTTTCTAGCCACGTTATTCTTTTCTTGAACTGTTCGGATCCGGTTGGTGATGCCTTAAGTATTTGATAATTTCTGTGAATCAATATCAACATATTATCATCAGGTTGTGGGGAAACTGGAATAAATTCTCGTTGCAACTTCACATTCATTCATTTATTCGAGGCGTGATCCAGAATTATCAAGATTTTTTTCATAATTCTGATACATTTCATGTTTTCTTCATAAATTTATACCTGCGCTAATTTTTGTTTCCATCAAGTCAATTGCAAAATTTTATTGATTGAATCCCAAAACAAGTATCTTCTTAGTCAAACAAAAGGTTTTTTGAGTGTTGTAGTTATTTTGTAGACTGTTGGACTAATCTTAAGGCTTGCTAAAATGTTAATGCGGTTTTTTAAATAAATTTTAATTGATAAATTGCATATATCTTAAGATTTGTTTTGGCTATCTATACTTTTCATCCAAAGCTTGATATGAGGTAAATCCAAGTCGTATTCATTTGATTTCTTATCTAGGATTAATTAGCTACGTTAAACGAAAACTATAGCATTCTATTTATTTTTGTACATTTTGTTTGGTTTTAGTACGCATTTATATAATGTTTGCTATAATAAATAATCAATATTATTGAATTTATGGCTTTGTTCCGGATCAACCCTCGTATATTAATGGTTCTTTACAAGTAAAAAAAATCGAATTTATTTAGATAATCAAATGAAAATACTGAACGGTTGTAAAATATCGATGTTTAACAATAATGTGTGTACAGCATGACAGCTTTAGAAATTATCTGTTGTTTGGTTGTTGTTTTTTTTTCCTTTGATTTATATGCTTAAGAATTGCAACAAAATAGAGTCATACTCAACGTTCCTAAAATACTTATTTCATTTCAAAAGACTGAAATTTTTAGAATTATACGAAAAACCTATTTCTATATAGAAAATCAGCATACCTTGCAAAATATGCAGTCTGTTTTGCAATTGAGATTGCACACTGAACAAGCGTATTTTTTCGTCATATTGA